CACAATTTCTACTTTCTTCCATTTTATACAACAAGATGTCCACCTTTGCAAGTGGGTGAAGCTGTGGAAGAATGCTGGGGAGAGGAAGGGAGGACACAGGGTTTTTAAAACCCAACAATAGGCCTGGCGAGGTGGCTCATGCCTGTAATCCCAGCACTTTGGGAGGCCAAGGCGGGCGGATCACAAGGTCAGGAGATCGAGACCATCTCCTGATCGAGATGGTCTCGAGCCAGATCGAAACCTGGCTAACATGGTGAAACCCTGTCTCTACTAAAAATACAAAAAATTAGCAGGGCACGGTGGCAGGCGCCTGTAGTCCCAGCTACTCCGGAGGCTGAGGCAGGAGAATGGCGTGAACACGGGAGGCGGGGCTTGCAGTGAGCCGAGATCTTGCCACTGCACTCCAGCCTGGGCGACAGAGCGAGACTATCTCAAAAAAAACCAAAAAAAAAACAACAATAAATGCACAAGGAGCTGGTGTCAGGAAGAGGAAAAGGTCTGATCTGCTGTCTTCAGGAAAAAAAAAAAAAAAAACCCTCCACTTCTTTAAAGTGTTTTTCCAGATTTTTCATGTTTGTCCTAGTACTCTTCCATGTGAGAAAAAAAAAATTAAAACATAATCTGAAAAATGGGAGCACGTGAGAAATGCATTTGATAGCAAGATATTCTCCACAGTATTATGCACAATAGTTAGAAATAAGAAATCAGCAATGCCCACCAAGAGACAAACGTGCTTACAGCTCCCGTGGAGGAGGGTCCTGGCTCCTTTAAGAAGGAGCAAGAGGCCGAGCGCGGTGGCTCAAGCCTATAATCCCAGCACTTTGGGAGGCCGAGACGGGCGGATCACAAGGTCAGGAGATCGAGACCATCCTGGCTAACACGGTGAAACCCCGTCTTTACTAAAAATACAAAAAACTAGCCGGGCGAGGTGGTGGGCGCCTTGTAGTCCCAGCTACTCGGGAGGCTGAGGCAGGAGAATGGCGTAAACCCGGGAGGCGGAGCTTGCAGTGAGCTGAGATCCAGCCACTGCACTCTAGCCAAAAAAAAAAAAAAAAAGGAGCAAGATTCAAACGTCAAATTTACATTAAACCCAACTATGTTGCAGGAATTAAAACTAGATATTCCCTGCTCTTTAATCTCCATGTGCTAGGAATATGAGTAGTTGCTGTAATTTCTGCATTTGCCCCATTTCCCATTATTAATATTATTTTTTGAGATGGAGTCTTGCTCTGTCACCAGGGTGGAGTGCAGTGGTGCCATCTCTGATCACTGCAACCTCTGCCTCCCGGGTTCAAGTGATTCTCCTGCCTTAGCCTCCCGGGTAGCTGGGACTACAGGCGTGCACTACCATACTCAGCTGATTTTTGTATTTTTAGTAGAGACGGGGTTTCGCCATGTTGGCCAGGAAGGTCTTGATCTCCTGACCTTGTGATCCACCTGCCTTGGCCTCCCAAAGTGCTGGGGTTACAGGTGTGAGCCACAGCACCCAGCCTCCATTTTTATTAAAAACAATCTCTGCCAGGCAAGGTGGCTCACACCTGTAATCCCAGCACTTTGGGAGGCCAAGGCAGGCGGATCACTTCAGGTCAGGAGTTTGAGACCAGCCTGGCCAACATGGCGAAACCCCGTCTCTATTAAAAATCCAAAAATTAGCCGGCTGTGGTGGCACACACCTGTAATCCCGGCTACTTGGGAGACTGAGGCAGGAGAATCACTTGAACCCGGGAAGTGGAGGTTACAGTGAGCCGAGATCATGTCACTGCATTCTAGCCTGGGCAACAGAGCAAGACTCCATCTCAAAAAAAGTAAAAAAAATAAACAAACAAACAAAAAATCTCTGAGACCCGGTGACAGAGAGGCTTCCATGGAGCCCTGAGGACGGGCTAAGGAGCAGACCGTGCTGTCGGCTGACTTGCTGTTTTGGGATCCCCCGGTCCAGTGCTCTGGCTCACAGGAGTGGTCCCCCTCCCCAGGCCCCAAATCTGTGTCTTTCATGGGCTCACCATTCCAATCTCTCCCTTGCTCTTTCCATCTAACTGCTTAGGCCATTTTCATCTCAAGGAAAAGCAATTGCCCTTTAACTACGAGCTTGTAATTCTTCAGCACACCCACCAGACGCTAACCTGGTATCTAGACAATCTGCCTTTTCAAGGACGAACCTTCAGGCCTCCGTATAAATGCTCAGCCTCCTCTGCAGCCTGACCCTGCCACCTGGGCTCGGCTGTGTGCCTGTGTTGATTTGACTTGTCCTTTTGGCCTATTACCCTCTGCCAGGAATTGTTCCTGACGGTGACATTGTAAACCACCAGTATATTATAGAGCTGGAGAAACACAGCGCCTAGTGCAAGACTGGCAACCTTCCTCCTGCCAAGCAATCACTTTGAATGTTTTGGAACTGGAAGAGGGCTGGTGTGAGGCAGGCGGCAATAGCTGTGTGTCCCCGGGGCAGAGGGGAGCGGTAGTGGGGGCACCCATAGAGACCATGGGCTGTGAATGCTTCCAGATTCCTCCTTAGAACTGCAGAATGGAAAGTGGTACATGCCACCCACTAGAAACGGCTTATGTCCAGGACAACCAAGACTCCAGAAGATGGTGCAGGCTGTGACCAGGGGAGGAACTGACCTGGCAGGGAGAGGAGCTGCTTAAGGAAATTGAGCCTGCCATGAGATTCACCTCCATAAACAATCCCCAGCTAGGAGATCATAACCCTGCTTTCCAAACAGAGCTGCTGTTTTCTACTGTTGCATAATTACACAGATCGCCCAACTGTTTGGGAGAGACCACACATTACTTTTCCAGTTGTGTAAATAGAAACCCAGCAGCAACTAACAGAGCTCCTGGGGGTAGAAATGAGAAGAGGAGGGATGGTGAGGGATGAGCCTGCTCCCAGCAGGGCAGTGGGGAGCCCACTGCCGCTGCCTTTGCCTGGAGAGCCCCTGGCAGCCTGCTCTGCACTCTGAAATCAGTGATGGGGCTGAAGGTTTTCTCCCTCTCCTCCCTTTCCAAGCTCGAGGCTTTGTAAGAACTGTATCAGTTTTGGAAATGGTAACACTTTTTCTCTGTCCCCAAAACTTGCAGATGAACAAGGGAGGCAGAGCCCTCAGCCTTCTTGAAGGTTCAGACAGGGCAACTGATGCCTGGCTCCCTCCGCCCCAGCCCCGTGGGCCTTCACATATTCCAAGCCATTCTGTAAAACCCTTCTTTTGAATGAGCGCCTCACTCATAGGCTTTCCTGGAATGTATTCAAGCTCTCTCTGCACAGACGGGCTGTGGAAGCTCTGCTCATACACAGAAGCTGATGAAGCCAGCTTTTGGCCTCCACCACATCCACATCAGGGCTGAGACACCAAGAAGGGATTTATTCGCATTCTCGCTCTTTGCAATCATCAAAACAACTGTGGTGTAGTTACTGATCACTCTTTTATGTGGGACAAGTTAGGAAATGTGTGGAAGGAAGGTAACTGGGGATGCGGTGGCTTGTCCTTCAGGGTCAGTCTCCAGCATCATACCCCAGTTCCGCCACTGTTCACTCCGGGGCCTTTTTTTTTGAGACGGAGCCTTGCTCTGTTGTCAGGCTGGAGTGCAGTGGCGCAATCTCAGCTCGCTGCAACCTCCGCCTCCCGGGTTCAAGCGATTCACCTGCCTCAGCCTCCCAAGTAGCTGAGACTACAAGCGCCCGCCACCACGCCTGGTGAGGTTCTTGGTCTCGGTGCTTCTGTTTCTCCATTGACAATGTGGGGTCACGGTGAGAGGCCCTTCCTTCTCCACGGGGTGGTTATGTAGACTGGAGTGGCTGATACACATAAGCAGTTGCTATGCTATAGTTGTTCCATGTGGCTCAGCACCATGGCTCACACCTGTAATCCTAACACTTCGGGAGGCTGAGGTGGGTGGATCATTTGAGGCCAGGAGTTCGAGACCAGCCTGGCCAACATGGCGAGATCCCATCTCTACTAAAAATACAAAAACTAGCCAGGTGTGGTGGTGCATGTCTGTAATCTCAGCTACTCAGGAGGCTGAGGCAGGAGAATTACTTGCACCCGGGAGACGGAGGTTGCAGTGAGCCAAGATCGCACCACTGCATTCCAGCCTGGGTAACAGAGCAAGACTGTGTTCAAAATGATAATAACTATTACAATTGTTCCATGTGTTAATAATAATTAGCAATCACTTCTCTGGGAACCATGTAGGGGTAGGGTCAGATTTTGGTGAGATAAATCCTATATTGAGTCTCGTAGATAATGGGCACATGAGGGGGTCCTGGCGTGGTGGCTCACGCCTGGAATCCCAGCACTTTGGGAGGCTGAGGTGGGTGGATCATTTGGGAGGCAGAGGTGGGTCATTTGAGGTCAGGAGTTCGAGACCAGCCTGGCCAACACAGTGAAACCCCGTCTCTATTGGAAAAAACCCCACAAAAGTTAGCCAGGCGTGGTGGTGGCTACCTGTAATCCCAGCCACTCGGGAGGCTGAGGCAGGAGAATCGCTTGAACCAGTGGACTGTCAAGAGATGTAGGCTGCAGTGAGCCAAGATCGCGCCACTGCACTCCAGCCTGGGCGACAAAGTGAGACTCTGTCTCAAAAAAAAAAAAAAAAAAAAGATAATGGGCACATAACAATTATTTCTCACTACAGAGTGCTTTGTCTCTATGAAAACAAGGGTTGTGAAGTGCCCTGTATGGAGTCTGGATGCAAAAAGTAACTTATAAATATTCATTTACTCTGCCTTCAAGAGAAGGGAGCTGAGGAACCTATTTTACTTCATAGATAAAATTTGTTGGAAAAAAAATCTAAAAACAGATTTTCAATTTCTGAGTGTTACAAATTTCAGTAACATTATAAATGGAACTTTTTACTTTCACCTATCGATTTTCTGACTATAATTAAGTTATTTACCATTTGCATATATAGGGGGTCTGCAAAACTCTTATGATTATATGATTGTTTAATGTCTAGATCTTAACATTCTACAGATGAAAAATGTCTGGAGCAAAAACCCTTACCTGAACTCTAGTAGAAGGTGCTCTTCGGCTTGATGACATTCCTGTCTCAGTACAGCACCCACACTTCCAGATCTGCAGTGGAGGGAGTCAGCGAGGAGCTGACCAGCCCAGGGCTGACCTGCTCACACCGGGCAATTGCACGCATCTCTGCGTTTAGACTGCTCACCATCACAGGGCCGCTTCTGACCACTCAGGGAGAGCGAGGCGCGGACAAACCTTCGCCCTGCCTGAGACCAGATTCAGTCTTTGCTCCCTGGATGCACTTGTTCTGAGGGCCACATTCCTCTGCTCACTCGTTTGATTGAGCAAGGAAAGACACTTACACTCAGGACAGATCATCTGAGGATGCTGGAAAGGTTAAGGACCTTCCTAGAGGGCACTCGCTGTGTGTCTCTGGTTAGGTTGGCAGTGACATCCACTCTGAGATGGCATGATCAGTAAACACACCACTTGGGGTGGGTGTGTTTGAGAACGTGTGTACAGCAGATTCAAATGACTGTCCTAGGCTCTGGGACCCCAAAAGCAAGTGTCCTTGAAAATGACTTAGGTGCTTAGATCTACATATGTGACACTGTGCTGAGTGTCCCTGTACAGGCCTGTACATGGCTTTAAAGTAGTACATGGCCGGTGTGGCATAAAGCATACAGAGATAATTAAAGCAAATGCGTACTTCATGCTTCATGTCTGTATTTTTGCTTCATATTTGTAACTTGCTAAGTTGCAATAAGAAAATACTACAGGCAAGATGTGGCGGCTCAGGCCTGTAATCCCAGCACTTTGAGAGGCAAGGTAGGTGGATCACCTGAGGTCAGGAGTTTGAGACCAGCCTGACCAATATAGTGAAACCCCGTCTCTACTAAAAATACAAAAATTAGCCAGGTGTGGTGGTGGGCTCCTATAGTCTCAGCCACTCGGGAGGTTGAGACAAGAGAATTGCTTGAACCCAGGAGGTGGAGGTTGCAGTGAGCTGAGACTACGCCACTGCACTCTAGCCTCAGTGACGCAGTGACTGCCTTAAAAAAAGAAAAAAAGAAAAAAAGAAAAGAAAATACTGCAGACCGGGAAGCTTGAACGGTAGAAGTTTATTCTCAGTTTTGGAGGTTGAAAATGTGAGATCCAGGTATGGGCCAAGTTGGTTTCTTCTGGGGCCTGTTTCCTGGGCTTATAGATGCCACCTTCCCCAGGTGTTGTCCCTCTGTGTGTATCTGTGTCCTAATGTCCTCTTGTTTTAAAGACACCAATCAGATTAGATTAGGGCCCATGCTAATGAACTCATTCAACTTTAATTACCTCCTTATTTTTATTTATTTATCTATTTAGTTAGTTAGTTAGTTAGTTTTGAGACAGAGTCTCACTCTGTCACCAGGCTGGAGCACAGTGGCACAATCTTGGCTCACTGCAACCTTCGCCTCCTGGGTTCAAGCAATTCTCCTGCCTCAGCCTCCTGAGTAACTGGGACTACAGGCGTGCCCCACCACGCCTGGCTAATTTTTTGTATTTTAGTAGAGACGGAGTTTCACCGTGTTGGTCAGCCTGATCTCTATCTCCAGACCTCATGATCTGCTGCCTCAGCCTCCCAAAATGCTGGGATTACAGGTGTGAGCCACCACGCCTGGCCTTAATTACCTCTTCAAAGATCCTATCTCACATTCAGTCACATACGAAGGCACTGTGGTTGGGACTTCAACCTCAGGATTTGAGGAGTTGCATCTCAGCCCATGGCAATCTTCCAGGTTTCTTTTTCTTTATAAAACACCATTTATAAATTTAGAAAGTTTTTTGGTTTGTTTGTTTGTTTGTTTTTGAAATGGAGTTTGGTCTGTCACCAAGGCTGGAGTGCAGTGGCACAGTCTCGGCTCTCTGCAACCTCCACCTCCCAGGCTCAAGCAATTCTCCTGTCTTAGCCACTGGAGTAACCAGGATTATGGGCGCGTGCCACCACTGCTGGCTAATTTTTGTATTTTTAGTAGAGACAAGGTTTCACCATGCTGGCCAGGTTGGTCTTGAACTCCTGACTTCATGATCCACCCACCTTGGCCTCCCAAAGTGCTGGGATTACAGGCATGAGCCACCATGCCCAGCCAAATTTACAAAGTTCATAAGAACATGACAGACAAGAGGAGCCTGGGGAGAAATCCGAGGCTAGCGGTCTCCATCTTAATCAGAGATAGGCTTTACCTGCAGGTGTTGACTGTCTGACCACCGCAACTGTGACCAGTCAGCGCCAGTGGCCCAGGCTTGTCCAAATTCAGCCAGAAGACCAACAGCCAGCAGAGAATGAAGCTGACTCACCCAGTCACGGTGCTGCTGCCAATGCTTCTGCTCCAGCCTCTAGGGTCTTCTCTTACCCCACTCCTGCCACAGAGCCCTCTTAATTTTTGTACTTTTGACAAACCCTGTCCTACTGCCCCCAGACCCCAGATTGCACTGGCTCCTCAGTGCCTTCCTGGTGTACCCTGAACTCACTGCACCAGCCTGTCCACCCAGGCAAAGATGCCATACCAGGCCCTCAGCCCTAATGCCATTTGACTTTACACCCAATATTGGAGAAAGCAGGCTCTTTGCTCAATGTTTAATTTCTTAGTTGAAATTCCCAAACGTTCACTCCATTGCAGCACACAGGATGAAGGGCCCAGGGTTGTGAGTGCGTTTACCCTTTAACTTTTACCAGAGTACAGGCATCAACAGGAAAGGCGGTGAGAACCCCATCACTGGAGACATCGCTTTGCCTCTGCTGTTTCTTTCTTTCTCCTTCTTCCCTCCCTCCTTCCCTCCCTTCCTTCCTTCCTTTCTTCTTCTTTCTTTCTCTTTTTTTGGCCAGGATGCTCTCAATCTCCTGACCTCGTGATCCACCTGCCTCAGCCTCCCAAAGTACTGGGATTACAGGTGTGTGCCACCACGCCCATCCTGTTTCGTTACTTTCTAAGTAAATCACCATCAGCTTCAGCAGTCTATTACAGGTAACAAATGGCTCCTCCTGAACGCATGTTGAGGACATTTTGAAGAGGTCTGGATCCCAGCTCCTTAATCACGTATATGGAGTGGAGGTGTGCTGTTTACTATAGGGCCTCACCAGGCTGACTTTCTGCAGAGTTTACAGACTGACTCGCATGAAAAAGTTGGAAGGCTCACCCCAGAAAGGAATGTTGGCAAGAGAAGTTATTTACTTAGAGGTTGAACTCTAGTTTGGTCTTTGGGACTTTCCATGCTATTTGAAAGAATTCTGGCATCCCAACTATGTGGCAAGGGCTGACCAGGGTGAAAAACCTGCTTTATGTCACTTTAATTTGGAGAAATGAAATTTCTTTCCTTGGAAACAGTATCCATAGTTAAGTCAAGGAGGGAGGGCGGGGGTTGGAGAAGGTTTCACAGGGATAGCAACATCCCGAACATCACTTCTGTAATCTTCGAGGCGAAGTATTTAGATGCCAACAGGTCCAATACTGCAAGAACATATCATTCACTCATTTATTTGAGACAAGTCTTGCTCTGTCACTCAAGCTGAAGAGCAGTGGTGCGATCTTGGCTCACAGTAACCTCTGCCTCACAGTCTCAAGTGATCTTCTTGTCTCAGCTTCCTGAGTAGCTTGGGCTAGTGGCATGAGGATGTCTCTGCATATTTTGTGGAGGATGTTTCTACATTTTTTGTAGAGACGGAGGTCTCACTATATTGCCCAGGCTGGTCTTGAGCTCCTGGGCTCAACCTATCTGCCCACCGCAGTCTCCCAAAGTGTTGGGATTAGAGGTGTGAGCCACTGTGCCCAGTCGAATATATAATTTAAGTAATTGGCAAGCAGTATGGGTTTTTCACATCATGAAAGTAATATAACCCTATGGTGGGAAACTAGAAAATGAAAGAAAAGTCTAAGGTGCGTTAACAATTGCCAGTAATTCTACCCCCAAGAGACAATCCTGATTGTAACCATTAACATGTCTCCAAGCTGGAGTGCAATGGTGCGATCCCGGTGTGTCCAGAATTTATTCCTTCTGGTGGGTTATTGGTCTTGCTGACTTCAAGAATGAAGCCGCAGAACCTCGTGGTGAGTGTTACAACTCTTAAAGATGGTGTGTCCGGAGTTTGTTCCTTCAGATGTTCAGATGTGTCTGGAGTTTCTTCCTTCCCGTGGGTTTGTGGTCTTGCTGACTTCAGGAATGAAGCCCCAGACCTTTGCAGCGAGTGTTACAGCTCTTAAAGGTGGCACATACGGAGTTGTTTGTTCCTCCTGGTGGGTTTGTGGTCTCACTGAGTCCAGGAATGAAGCCACAGACCCTTGTGGTGAGTGTTACAGCTCATAAAGATAGTGTGGACCCAAAGAGTGAGCAGCAACAAGATTTATTGTAAAGAGCAAAAGAACAAAGCTTCCACAACATGGAAGGGGACCTGAGCAGGTTGCCGCTGCTGGCATGGCCAACTTTTATTGCCTTATTTGGCCCCGCCCACATCCTGCTGATTGGTCCATTTTACAGAGCACTGATTGGTCCATTTGACAGAGCTCTGGTTGGTCCATTTTACAATGTGCTGATTGGTGTGTTTACAATCCTTTAGCTAGACACAGCACTGATTGGTGTGTTTTTACAGAGTGCCGATTGGTGCATTTACAATCCTTTAGCTAGACACAGAGTGCTGACTGGCACATTTTTACAGAGTGCCGACTGGTGCATTTACAATCCTTTTGCTAGACACAGAGTGCTGATTGGTGCATTTTTACAAAGTGCTGATTGGTGCATTTACAATCCTTTAGCTAGACACAGAGTGCTGATTGGTGCATTTACAATCCTTTAGCTTGGAGAAAACTTCTCCAAGTCCCCACTTGACCCAGAAAGTCCAACTGGCTTCACCTCTCACAGGCTCACTGCAACCTCTGCCTCCTGGGTTCAAGTGATTCTCCTGCCTCAGCCTCCTGAGTAGCTGGGACCACAGGCGTGCATCACCACGCCTGGCTAATTTTTGTATTTTTAGTAGAAATGGGGTTTCACCATGTTGGCCAGGATGATCTTGATCTCCTGACCTTGTGATCTGCCCACCTCGGCCTTCCAAAGTGCTGGGATTACAGACGTGAGCCACCACATCTGGCCCCCAAGTTTCCTTCTAAGCATGTTTTTATGTATGTAAGCATGTCTTTTCTGCATAACTTTAGATTATTTGAGCAAAATCTTCTGCTAAGAAAAATTTTTGAAGCCATCATTTTATTTTATTTTTCCTGAGACAGAGTATTGCTCTGTCTCCCAAGCTGGAGTGTAGTGGAACAATCTCTGCT